ATATATATATATATATATATATATATATATATATATATATATATATATATATATATATATATATATATATATATATATATATATATATCTCTCTCTCTCTCTCTCACACACACACACACACACTCGATATATATATATATATATATATATATATATATATATATATATATATATATATATATATATATATATATATATATATATATATATATATATATATATATAAACAAGGTGACTTCGCGTCGCCTCGACGACGTCACCCTGCGTGGGAGAAGGAAAAGGCGACATCGGCTTTTATAAAAAAAAAAATATATATATATATATATATATATATATATATATATATATATATATATAAACGAGATGACGTCACTCGGCTTGGGAGAAGAGAGAGGCAATGTCGCCGAATATATATATATATACCGTTCGGTATACCACTCGGTGTACAGTATTATACCGTACCGAGCTAACGTCGAAACTCCAGTACGGTACGAAATTGTGAACCTTGGTTGGTACATGATTTTCATATATGTGGGCTTGCCAATCACTAAGCATAGCAAAGGTTAATCAGCTTGATTTCTTCATCTATGGTCATTCTGACTTGTTAGTTAGCTTTTGTTCATATCTATGTTCCTACTTCATTTCTGTTTTTGATGAATGGATCCTTAAGTTGGTACTCTTTTTCTGCAGCTGTTGAGTATTGCCTTTTTCTTCAGGTTTCCATACGTATAAATGAATAGACCTTTCTGCTTTGAGGGATTCCAAGACATCATTTGTATCTTGCTTCTATGCCATATAGCTTATACAGTAATTGTTTATATCATCTTCTTGGGAACATTCCTTTTCTTCCATTTGGTGAAACATCAGGAATCCTTTTCCTCAGTTTCTGATGAATGATATGTTAGATTAATTAATATATGACAATTAACTATGCATAAATTAAAAAAAATAATGAACATTAGTTTGGTATTTAAGCAAAATTATTCATGTAGGTGTTAATCCACCAATGTTGTTAATTCACTTTTCTACTCTGAGGTGGTTCTATTTGAAGTTACTCTGACATGGTGCCTCAAACTATTATTTTGCCTTTTGCCTTTTGTTTTATGTTTGCAGGATATGCAGTATTTTCCACGTGTCAGAGTGAAATTGAAGCTTCACACTGGAGATGATAATGCATCAAAGTCTGCGGTTCTTAACATCAGACTTGAAAAGGCAAATTCTAAGCATTCTACAGTGAGAGCTTTTGTCCCTCGATACCCGAAGGTGAATCTTCATTTGACTTCTTGGACAACTCATGTTTAGGTCCTTTTTTGAGCTTTATGTAATTAAGCCACCTTTATTTGTTTAATTGAGTGATTGAAAAGTTTTTTCTTTTTCTCTTGCACACGCGAGGTGCTAGGGTAATTTGTCAGGATGAAATTGGAACTGAACCTATAAAAGATGTTCGAAATAGGACTATAAAACTGGTAAAATTGGAAAATATGTGATATTTAGTTCTTATCATATTCAGTCTTGTGTCTAGGTAGTTGGTTGCTGGTTAAATTATTTAAGTACTTCAAAGTTTTGGATTAAGAGCTGGAAAGTAATATGAACATTCCTTCACCACATTTTGTGGATGAGGTTACATTACAAAGTCCGAGATCGGTTACACCTTTACACAGCTCCAGGATTGTCTGTATTTGGAAGTTTAATTTAGCATGCTGTTTTAGCTTATTCATAACATCAATTTGATTCCCAGGTCAAAGATGAAGCATGGTGGTTAGTTCTTGGTAATGCCACTACGTCAGAATTATATGCTCTGAAAAGAATTAGTTTCTCAGATCAGATGGTCACTCGTATGGCGTTACCACCAACGGTGACCAATCTTCAGGTGAGAATATGCTTGCTAGCCTGAAATATAGTTTGTGTTAAACTATTCTTTACTCGCCCTTTTCTACATAAAGCTAATTGGAAAATGCTATACTTTCATTTTGCTCGACTCGGTTTACGCAACTTGATAGCTGCTGTTCCTTCTTGATTCTCCCTAGTCAAGATCTGATTCTTCTTCATGAATTCTTTCTATCCACATTAAATGCCATGTCCTCAAAAAGGAGGTTTATCGTTAGTCTTTTTATTTACATGTCCTCAGTACATGTAAACTGCCTTGCTCCACTGGCATATCCTTGGACCACTTGCATGGCTCTTAACTACAACAGATCCCTTAGTTCAAACCTAATTTTCTTTCCTCTCTGCTGTTGCATATATATAATAAAATGGCTATCCATGTTGTTGATACTAAACATTACTCTTATGCGATATCATTTTCAGGATACAAAGCTGTTTTTAGTATCAGATTGTTATCTTGGATTTGAGCAGGAATACTCCATCAGCTAAATATCCTTCCTCACCATGGGCTACTTGGCGTGAAGATCTAGCAGAAGAAAGTGAGTTATATATACACATAATATGGGTTTCACCACTAGTTGGTAAAGCATCCCAGCGAGAAATGGTGACTCTTATCTCTATGATTAAAGTAGATCTCGGGATGAAGCCTCTGTTCTTGGCGATGGTGTGTAAGATTTTGAAGGGTTTGTCCTCCCTTGATGAGTACTAAAATGGTCCAAAGGGTAAGTCCCCTGGCAATTCATAATTTGTTTATGGTTGTAAAGCTTAATTTTGAGCTACCAAATGCATCTCCAAACTGAGGAGTCATATCTACGTTAGGATCTGATGGAGAATCATTACGTCCTAACATGAATTATGGACGACGACCGTAAGAACACGAGTCTTGCGTCACTTTGTAAAGACTCGTATTTTTAGAGAACCAGCCTTGATAGTGAAGAGACGTGAATGCAGTCTCTCGGGCATCATAAAGCTGTCTGGAACGCACAACGATGTTATTTAAATCAGCCTTAATATCTCAATCTTCAATTCCTATACATTTATTTTGCGCAGGTTTCTGAGAATTGGTTAAAGTATCACAACTACCTGCATGTACCTCACAACTTGATGGTCAGCACTTGTGAGCTCATATAGAAATGTTATCGAGACGTGATGAGCAAGATATATCAACTGAATAAGTTTCATCAAAAAATGACTCAAAAAACAATCACAGATCAACAGACAGGCATTTTACTCTTCCGAGGAGCTAAAGATTTTTTGTTTTAATTTTCAAGTTTATTTGAATAAAAATTATGTAATAATGCTGAAACTCTCCTCTCATATAAAAATGAGATGCCACAACCTAATTTTCTGTACCTCCATTGATGTACAAAGACCTATACCTCTCATATCAGGGTGAACAACCATCGGGAAAGATTTCAAAGGCCAAACCCCTGAGCGGTCCTCGTCTTCAATACTAGGACAAAAGAACTGCCTGCCCCCTCTCACATTAATGCTTATGAACTCTCTCTCTCTCTCTCTCTCTCTCTCTCTCTCTCTCTCTTTTTCCGATGGAGGTGTGACTGAAAAGCATCGAGGAATAGCGATGGCGACCACAGCCATTTGACAAGAGAAACAAAATCAATTGATAAATGATCTTAGAGTGAGAGACAGCAAACCCCCTCGGGTAGATTTCCAGGCACTGGAACGGCGGTGATATATCTCTGCGGAAAGATCCTGCGATAGGCATTTCCAGGAGTGGAAGATACATCGACCCCATCAGCATGAGTCCGACCATGAAACTTGCCTAATCGGTTCACAATGGAAAACCTCTCTAACTCTTGGCACTCCAGTCGGACATCCAACAACGACGTCTTCCTCTCCAATCTGAAATATATTAATCAAATGAAATGATTAAATACACCACACATGCAAAATTACACCAGGGAGACTTCGACCGTAAGGAAAGACTTGCAAGGTCATTAAATTCAAAACAGAACCATACCAATTCAGTTTCTCAGCACTAACACTACTAGATTCAAGACATTAAGGCATGCAAATCCAAAAGAAATCTTTATCACATTTAGCTGCTAATGAAAGTGTGACAATTTATTCACCTAGATAACCTGTCTATGACAACTTAAGACAATCATCAGATTTGTTTAACCATTTATTCACTTTACAAGCTTCGAAAAGAACATCTATAATAAGAAAACACTGGACGTAAGACACAAAGTGACGGGCTATTTTCTCTCTGTGGGTGACCTTATGGAACATTACTGATCCATTCAGATTGTAACGACAGACCTGTACAACCAAATCCCTTGAGATAAATTACAACTTCAAATTTGTCCTAATGTATGAAGCTCCCACCAATGTGGGGTGTGGGTAAGTCTGACGTATCCAAGCTTATTTATTATAAGCAAGGAGACTCATCATAAAGTAACAAGTAAGCAACCTTGACAAGTCAAATAAAGATCATTCAAATATCTTTCTATTGTACCTAGTAAAATTTTTTAGATCTTCTTCCATCTTTCCTCACACCACTAATCTTAATTAGATGTCTTCCAAATTTAATATATAGTGATCTCAACTAGTGATATAGTGTACTACCACATTACATATTGCCTGGCACTTGTCCAGTAACATCATTAGCAGCATCAAGAACATCAAAATTCAAAACAGCTACAAAGATCTAAAGGGTATAGCAAACATCAAATACATTAGACAAGAATGCAATGGCACCGCTAATGTGCTAGTCATTAATCTTTTATTGAAGTGATGCCTAGTTGTTCACGAATTTAAGTATTTCTTTTCTCATCTTTCTTAGTAACTTGATACATCCATCTCCTAAGCACACGGGAATAAGGAAAAGAAAAATATTTCATGAAAAATAATTGATATTGCTCTTACCTTGAGAAATCAGTTGAAAGTTTCTTGGATCTACCAATGAAATCTTCCATAAGCTTTAAGAATGTATCTTCTTCCACCTTCTTGGAAGTCTTAACCTCTCCAATATTTATCCTAGAGTTAAAGGGTGGAAAAAGATAACTGATTAGCAAGTAATAATATATATATTGCATGAAACAATATACACCAATATGACAGATCATATCCATCAAACTGGGTGGGAAGAGTAGGATCTCCTAAATCAAAGATGAGTATAACGATCTGATAGCTTGAGGTCATACTATAGTGTTCTCGATGAATTTCAAAGGCGACGCTTACGTATTTTCATTTCCCAACAGCAAATGGGAATCACTTTCTGAGGAAGAAACCAGGCTGCATGCATCTGCAAGTGCTGTTTTAGCAATAGAGAAAGTCACACTTTGATAACCTGAAGTTGCCTCTCCTTTGAACATCACAGCTGGTACAGCTGGAATAAGTTGATGCATCAGTTGAGTTGTCAGGATTATCCTTCTTCGTGACTGAGGCATAAACAGGCCATCATCCATAGTTTCAGCTTCATCATCCACCTATATTTAGAAACCAAGGTCCACAACATCCACTGTAAAAGCTCTGGATAAATAGTACATAAAATTGATTACACTGGCCAAATTGGTAAGATAAACAAACCTTCTCTATCAATCTATTGGCAGCTTGAGCCCAATCCAACTCTGGCATACTGCAAAAAGATTCATATTTTAAGACTAATCCAAATTAAGATATATTTCTCTGAAAAACCATGTACAGATAGTTTTTTTATTGATTAAACAAAAGTTTTACCATCAAGAATACCACCTGATGCTCTGCAAACTTTGTGGACATCCCATGACCATCTTATGCCATGGCAGAAGATCTCTATTTGCAATTTTGCGCTTCTTTGACCTTATAATTCTACCATGGACCATCACATCCGGGGGCAGCAAAGAAGAAGTTGTATCACTGGGTGCTATCTTGAAGGCCAATGTATCTTGCCTATAGCTACCAACCTGGCTGCTATCAAGTCTTTGCTCGATGACATTACTATTATCCATCTTTGCAGGAGCATTTTGGAGAAAGTACTGCTGAACGGAAGCTTTTCTACTCCTATGGGCGTCAAACATAGCAACCATCCTGCCATTTTGGTAGGTTCCATAACTGTCAAACCAGGAAGGAGCCATCTGAGGACTAATCTGGGTGGGCTCACCATCTCCCAATACATTTGCTGTGGAACTTGTACTAAGTGGTTCCATGTGACTTTGGATATGATGTCCTGCACTGGATGTGTTGGGATTCTGTTCTTCACTGTCACTTGAAGTAAAGCTCAGCATTTTGGCATCTGACGTGAATGAAATATGAGAAGCTGCTCCAACTTTACCATCTGCAGGGATTCTGGGAATTGTATTCTGGCCATGAACAATTCCCTGATCTACATTGAAATTCATCTGTGAACTATCGGAACTAAAAGCAGCTCCTTTTGGTAGGATTCCTGTCTTGTTTATATCAGATTCAGAAGCCTTCATGGACTGTACTTGATGAAACAGTGAATAGTTTTGCTGTTGAACATCTGAAGGCTTTGACATGCGCCCTGCAAGAATACCACTGCTGGTAGAGACATTATTCGTTAGAGGAGCACGCAATACACAAGAACTAAGAGCTTGATCCTGTCCATTTCTTGTTTTGTTAACATCCTGTTGTGGCTTTAGCACGGCCTCTTTCCCCTGGGATGTATTGCTTGACTCATGAGAAACATCCATATGCTCAGGAGGAGCACTATCTTCCTTATTTACTTGATCACCTGGCTTTGGGAGGCCCCATGAACTTGTGTCTCTACCATGATTTATTATAGACTGAAGTACATTTGGAGTCAGAAAAGGATCAATACCAGCTTGACGTTGTTGAGCTGAAATATTTGTCCACACATTATGCAACATCTTTGAGAAGCTGGCTTGCTGAGACGTGCCTGACAGAGAAGGTTGTGAACTTGACTTTGTCTCTACAGCAGGTAACTGTTGGCCCGAACTTATAATTTGAGAAAATCCTGCAATTGTTCCTCTTGTATGTTCTGTCCCTTCTGAGGAAAATTGTGAACCAACAGGTACACGAGATTCAGCATGGGAAGCAACATCTGAAGCTGGAAACCTACCAGCCAGAGGAGGCAATGATGTTTGAACAGATTGGCCGCCTAAAGATCCACTTTGACAGTCAAGTGGCTGCCTAACGAGAGAAGCATTTCTAACAAGCATATTTGTATTAGTTTGGTTACTAAAGGAAAAATTGACAGAATGGTCCAAAAGTCCATGAGTAGTTGTTGCATTAGAAGTATGTTGTTGCCATTGCTGTTGTTGTTTCTCCAGGTGATCTTTTGCACTAGAAATGTGTTGCTGTCTAAGCTGCTGCTGCTCCTGCAGCTGATCTCTCACTGAAGAAGAATCAGAAACAGTGGCTGATGATTTAAAATGATTATTTGCTTCTGAATATTCAGTTTTTTTCTGTCCAGGTAGGCTGGCTATCTTATCCCAATTTTCTCTTTTAGATGCTTCATCAAATGGAAGAACAGGTCGAATCGAGGATGTAGGACTAAGCCACGTCTGACCCTGATATTCTGCTTCATGGTCTGATTGCCCACTGTTAATATCATTCAAGGACTTGTGAGAGATTGGTGTATAGTTTGGTAGTGGTTGCCCCTGAGATGGCGGGGCCAAACGCAACCCAAAACCACGCAAATTAGAAGACTGATCAAAGTGAGGATGCGTGATAGAAACATCAGCAGCAACTTGTGCAGGAACATCAGATGCATTTGTAGAAACAACGTTCTTTGATTGGTCAACCTTGTGGAGAAGCTCGAGCATATTATAACTGTGATAAATTACAAAAAATCAAGCATTAGAAAGATCCAAATGCATACATATGCCAAAACCAGAAATCTCTTTCACCATCAAGCACTGGAACAGCAATACAATTATTTTAATAGAATTTGTATTTAAACCATGTAATGGCATATAGGAACAAAATGTAGACAAGCTGGGTACATTGGCCTGCAGAGAAGGTTGTAGAAATCCAAAGTTGAGATCCAACACTAGGTGTTTTGCAATGATTGGTCCACCGAAAAGTAATAGATGAAACATAAGTGTGTTCTTTCAGGATGG